ATCATGCATAGTTTGCAAACATTTTACTTGTAGAAAATGCGACTTATGTGTTGATCTTTGAGCTGCCTTTCACTTTTCCTAGAGATCACATGCAAGCACATTTCTTGGGACTGCCTTGAATGTAATTATTTCCAGTTTTTAGAGCCAATTACGAAAATGAGCCTTGCCTATGCCACATTGCTGCAATAAAGTATGAAATGATAATTTCCGGAAAAACAGCGGACCTTGAAACTAAATTAGGCGCAACCTGCGTGCAATTATCGTTAGTTATTTTCCAGCTCTCACTTTTCGCAAAGGGTTGAGTTTGACAAAAGGGATGGGCTCGAGCTCTGAGTTCTGTTCAATGTCAGTGAGCCAGGCCCGCGGCTCTCGAGGCCATAAAACAAGGTCGGGCATAAAAAACGATTTACAAAGGCAAGGGTTCTCCGCCCACAAGGATTCATACACACGCACACACACCCAGTTAGGTCCTCACATAATGGCCGCACAGTGGGCCCATTGTCAGTTCTGCGGCTGAAAAACCAAGGCGATCTGCTCTCGCTTTCTTTCTTCCACGATGCTCAAGTGAGCTGGTGTGTGTTGGTGTGAGTTGGTGTGCCCGTCACAGTTCGAAGTTTTACGGTCTACGAGAGTTGGCCGTAGAAAGTGAGAGTCATTAAAAATTTTACTGCTTCCCAAGGTCGTCGCAGGGAATTTTATGTCACTTTTATGGCCTAGTTGCTGCTGCGGCTCCCACTTCATGGCCATGGCCAACGGAATCGGCGTAGTCATCGACTGACCCAATTTGCTTGGAGATACCTGGGCAATTGGTTGAATCGGTTTATGGATGGGCCTTTTGCATGGCTGAGTTCAACGAACTCGCGGCTCGAAGCAGTTGCCTAAATGAAAAGTATTAATATAATTTCATCATTTTTCATCAGGCCAAGTAAACTATTTTATTTAAATTAAACTTTATTTAGGATAAGAGAAGATGATATTGATTAATGAAAAATCAAGATGACTTTTTGAGAATGCAATCCCACTCTGAGCAGCTCAAAGTCCCGCTAGCTGGCAAAGACTTTCCGTTTATTAACGAAAATCCAAAACTTTTCTGCTTTTCATAAAATATTTAATATATTCGCTTGGCGCCCATATCGCAGCCACACACTTGATGCCTTATGAAAGTTTTCGCCCGTCATTTGGCTTATTTGCGAATTTTGGCACGCTCTGCAAGCTGGCAGAAAATTTGCAGCGGAATAAGGCGAAGATGGCGAAATGCTTAGTGGCAAGTGCCGAAACTAAATCCAATAACTATATGCTGAAACATTCATGAGCGCAAATTGAACACGTTCCTGCCTCTGGTGCTGGCCAACTTGGCTCCGGGTCTTGGCTTAAGCCCGATTCGTTTCTGCTTCGGTTCGATGGAATTTAGTTCAATTGAGGAATTTAGTCCGGGGCAGGAGATTGGGGTCCAGACAGGTCCGTCGGGCCAACGCACTCGTCACTGCAGCGGAATCAACTATCCACACCTTCTGGAAAGGAGTAACGACCATTTTGATTAAAAGTATTCCTCGCAGAAGTTTCTTTGCATTTAGCAGAAATGGTGACCAGCACGGAATGGTGGGGAATTCCTCCACTGATTGCACGTTTCAGCTGCCAGCTAAATCGGGGTGTGCATTTTGAATTCGCATTCCCTCACACCTCCGCACATTCCCAACCATTCGGAATAATTGAATCGAAAAATTGTTTCGCCCCATGAAAAGAATCCGATGCGAAGTTGGAGGCGAACGGCGACATTCAATTCTTGAAAGCATTTTCAGAAATCCAATTTGATTTGCAGCAATCGAAGGAAAAAACGAAATAGACTGGTGAAAAAAGGATGAAATGAACGATGTAACAAAGTACGTTAAAAAGACTCTGCAATCATATAAATTCGTTATGATTTGTCCCTTTTTTCTATTGTTCGAGAGAATCGTAGTAGCACCATCTGAATGTATCAGGTTTACTAATGGAAACACTAATTTGGATGCCAAAACCTATTTGGTTTCCATTTAATTTAGGTGTTTATTATTTTTTACTTTTCTGTATCTGCAAGTAACATGCTTAAACAAAACCGGAATGATTTTTAGATTATAAATATTCATTTTAGATTTCAATGGGTTTTTACTTGTGCAATTCATAAAAATAGAACTATAATAGAGCGAAAACACAACCAACCCCCAACAACAGCTGTTTATATTATTTAACCCCCGAAATTCCCGCCACCCCACGAATCTCGAAAACGTAAGAGAGAAAACGGGCGAAAGAGAGAATTTGGGGTTCTCTTTCCCGGTTTTCGAGGTAAGGGCCACTCACAGGGTGACCAGTGTGCTTCAAATACAATGAAAACCAAAACGAATTAATTTGCATATTTAACTGCGCTTTCAGCCAGCAGCAGGTGAATAAGAATCGATAGCTCTAATTAAGCCATATCTCTCTGTTCGACTTCGGCTGCATTTGCATTCCAATAGCTCGCAAATCAGCCAGCCGCTGTCTGAATCTTGTCAGGCGATAAAGCCAGCAGACGATGGGTTTATTAGCCATCGTGTGGCATTCGCCCCTCGTCGATCCACGGATTTTCCCGCGAGCGAAGCAGCCACTTGAATCTCATCTCCCCATCGATGATAACGAGGACGATGATGCATCGATAATCCCGATGGAGCAATGGCGATGCCATCCCTCAAATGGTTCCCTCCATTTTCGTGTGCAACCAAAGTTGCCAGGCAGAAGCTAATGGAAGAATCTCGCGATGTCACGAGCGTGAGTTATGGTTAAGTGCACTTTTTGGGCTGCCTCCTCGAAATACCTCCCACTTTACCTTACTCCCCCTCCCAATGCCGTGTTGTTTGCGTCTAAATGCAAATTTTGTGTAATGAACGTCACGCTGCAAAACGGAGTGGGATTGTCATTATACCCTAACGGATATGTTGCGAATCCGGTACTGATTTTTCAGGACTCCTCACTTATTTGGGTAAAAGCAAATAAAATCAGGTTTTTTATGTTGGTAAGTGGACCAACCCATTCTAGTAACACGATTGTTGTGTAATATTTTTAAAATAAATATAAAATATTAAAGGATTTAAAGTGAATATAATATTTTTCTGTACAATCTCTAAGATTGAATATAATTCGTTAGCGAACTTCTAGATAGATCGTTAGAGCATCCCAGTTTCGTTGCAGACAGACCCATGCTGTGATATTATTTTTGTGTTAGCTTCAACTTTTCCGCCGCCTGACTATTAGCTAATGCCTGAGCCGCAATTCGTGACGTGCCGCGCCCTCATCCCCGCCTCCTGCAACCTTTGGCCCCCCACCCCAACTCCAACTCCTCAGCGAGTCGAAATCCAACCCCAACCGCAGTCCTGTTGCTGCCTGATGCGCTTCGTAAAGTTTTGCAGAAAATTTGAATATCGCTTGGCTTATTTCGCGCTTGGCAAGCAACCACCGTGGATTTCCCAAAGGGGGAGGGGAGGGCAGGGGTTTCCCGGCAGCCATGTGTGTATCTGTATCTGAATCTGTGAGCCACGTTTGATGGTGGTGGAAATGGAGCTGCAACCACCGTCACAGGAGGGTCAGGAGCTCACGTTGTTTGCACTTTTCCCCCTCTGCCCGAAACTCTTTATCCTGCGTCCTTGCTGGCGCTTTCGTCTGATATTAATTTTCCTGCTCCTCCGAAATTCCCGCCTGGGGCCATTTAGCCCCAATTGCGTCTCGGTCTCAGACTCGCAATCAGCTTCAATTCCAGTCTTTGTCCCCGGGCTCTGGATGCGTTTCATTAATTAACTGAAATGCTGTCGACGAGCTTTGCACGTTACAAGAATGAATTATTTATATAAAATTTGTCTGGCTTTCTCCACTTCTGCGTTGAATCTTTTTTCTGCTACGTCTTTGTTGCCCTTGCTGATCGCAAATTTGTTGTGTGAGTCCTGTTTTCTGACCGGAGGTGAAGTGAAGTGCAATACTTTGCGCAATTATTGCCAGATTTTTTCTGTCGTGTGCAGGACTTCTGCGAATCATTTCTGTTACCTGTGTACCTGAATTTGATTCATTATTTTTATTTCTATATGAAAATCTATCTTATTTAACGCATCTGGATTAGTTGCATGTCGCGGTTAAATAACTTCAAAGTGCACTTACCAACGAATGTTGTAAATCGTCGGTAAGTAAGCAGGTGTCTTAACTCGTACCCTTTTTTACATTATTTTACTTTCAATGGCGAGTTTTCCACTCTGTGAACGGAGCTTAATTAAATTTTACAACTGCTCCCCTGGTTTTCCCTCTTACTGGTTTCCGGGCTTACAAGTCCGGACGCAGCTTTGCATTGCGCATTTATTTCACTTTAAATCTCAGCCAGAACTAATTTTATATTTTTCCCTCAGTTTTTTCGGTGGATTTTTCTGTGGGGAATTGGAGGATAATATGAAAAGGATTTTAGCCTGACGAAGTGCTTTTCTTCGTCTGCATCCCGCTGCTTAATAGATTTTTACGGTCAAGACACCAGCTGAATTTGCATTTTATTATCATATTTCAAGGAAGGAGGGTACAATTGTAATTATGCACAATGTAATAAGATGTTTTCCATGTTTTTGCTCAGAGAATTTATGCTATTCGAAGGAGTAAATTAATTATTCAAATGCGTAGCATGGAATGTTTATTTTGTATTTATAAATAAATAAGAGATAACAAATAATTCAAATTAGGAGCTTGCAATAATGCTGAACAATGGCGTTGTATGCCTTTTGCTCATGGTGTGATATTATAAGTGTTTAGTGATGTAAAAATGTTAAATACATTTTGTAATGAAGGAAGTCTATTCAAATCACCCATAACCCATTATACTTGTTTAAAAGTATTTGAAACACAAGATTAATCATTCGTGATCATTTAGGGGTTTATGAGAAGAAAGAAAAGAGCGATCCCTAGGAATGAATTGTACTTCACTCAGTTATTTACCTTTGGTCCCTTTTATATCCATTTCAGGTAATTGCCACCAATCCGATTCGAACCGCTTAAGTTGCCCTAAGCATATTCAATATTTCGGTTATTTAACACGAAGGGAATTAGAGAACGAGGTAAGGTAAACAATAAGCGCGAAACCCTTGAATTTTATTTAGTGTGTTTATGAAAATGGCCAACAATCAGACAGAAACGATAACGAAACGGGAAGAGCGATCCATAGCGTTCCAGCTCCTGGCTCATAGCACATGCTCCTGGTTCTGGCCCTGAAACTCTCTGGTAGTGTTTACGTTCCAACAGGAATGCACGATAAAATAAAATACACCCCATCAATATAAACGACAGTTACAGTGGCAGCAGCCACACACATGAATCACGTCCTGAGCGTCTTCAGACCGAGTTCCCCCCAAAAAGGCCAACAAAGAACACATGGACGGGTGTCTGAAATGAAAAAGTCTGTACAAATAATGCTGCCATTTTGGATAACAATGGAAGCTAACAAAGAACAAACAACAACATCGCCCAAAAGGAAAACAACGTCAAGAAGCAGGAAAGACAAAAAAAAAACAACAAAATACGCTGGAAAAGGTGGAATCGGAATTCGATTTAAGCGTTCAGTGACTTTGCCCTCCTCCGCCGAACAGCTTTGCGACATTTATCAAAGTCCCAAAACGCCAGCGGACACAGCAACAGCAACAGCAACAAAGCCAAGAAAATAAAAAGAAAATACAAAAATGTCACATTCGAATTGAATTTAAATGAGTTTTGTGCTCGACGAAGGCCAAGACCCAAAAGTGCGGTGTGGGGGACAGACCGACCCGATCCGATCCGATTCGGGGCAGAACCAGAACCAGAACCACAATTCGATAAAACTCCCAGAAATTATGCCGCCATGCCAAAGGCGTCTGAGGTCTTTCCCTCCGTTTGATTTTTGTATATTTCTGTAGCTCATGGGCTACGTCACTCCAATGGCCGCACCGTGGGCACAGTACTTGGGAATAAGGAGTCGGATTACTTTTCTGCACTTAAGGTCAGCCACTGATAATGACCGGTAATTTGGTGGGGATAATGGATTTATCTCTGCCCTTCGATTCGAAAACTACCAATTCTGAACAACTTATTAATCAATAACATATTTTACACGAATATTTCTTATAGTATTGCTCATATATTATTTTGAAAAAGTTTTGGTATACTATGTCGAAAAACTTGATTAAATACTGCGTTCGCTTGCATCCTCGGCTTTTATTTGCCAGAGGAATTTTCTTAATTAGCTCTACAATTGATGAATAAAAGCCCTTGCCTTCCAAAAATTTGGCAAAAAGAATTGCACACAAAAATTTGATATGGTTTTGCCAGGACAAGCCCATGGTGCATTGGCCCTTTGCCTACGTAACACTTGATGGCCTGCCTCATTAGCATTTACACTAGGCGCGACTATCGATCGACGCGATCTCAGCGACTTGACATGGCCCGGCCCGAGCGATGATCATTTTAATTTAGTCCAATCAGAACCAATAGAATTAATTACGGGCTAAGACACGGCTGGCAACGGCGCAACTATCTGTGCGCTCTGCCCCATAAACAGCACGGCACATAGATATAAGCCCTGGTACTCATACGCATCCGCAGTGAGCCAAAATCTGGCATCTAGGTCACGGGAAGAGGGCGTTGGCAGTGACACATCGCCGGCACATTACGCCGCAGATATAAATAAACACGCATTCCTTGGGAGGCTGGCCCGCCCTTTTACGGGTCCCGTATAGGATGGGCATCTTGCTCGGACTGCTCGCCTGCCAAATGGTGTGTATCTTTGTGCGGATGTGACTCTGCTTGTGGAGCCCAAACACAAATGGCCCCATTCAACTCCCTTATAATGGGGTCCTCTGCCAGTTCCAAAAGTTCCAAAGTTCGCCTTCTGCAGGGCAGCGGGCTGCCAGTCCAACGGGTCAGAGGAGGAATATAATTTCGAAAGGGGACAGCAGATTCCGCTGGGATTAAACATCTACGGACAAAAGACATACTTGCTCATACATATTTTCGTATCCATCAGATACGAGTAGCTGTGCGGCACACAAACACCCACATTCATGTGCGGCATATCTGAAAATGTATATTTATATTTTTGGCATTCCGCGTTGAGGGGGAAGCGTCTTATGGCCAATGTATAAATACATCCAATGTATGACATCAAAGCATGCTAATGAACACGGCTGTCGTGGTCGTAATTTAGGGCACCACGAGCTTGACTCTGTCAGCGAAATAGCAGTTCTCATCTAATCCAACAAGTTGTAAATCTACAAAGAATATTATTGTAAATACGAATATTTGGTTAAATTGTTGCCAGAATTTTCGTTAATTGCAGTTGAAATTTAAATAGATTTTATTTACGATTTAAATTAAGAGTTCCAACGTTCTTGTTTACATTAATACTTTCTAAAAATGCTATTTGTGTTACGAATGGACTGTCCATGTTTCTTTATAAACAATATTCCAAAAATAAATTGTACCATAACGACCGCCATCCATAAATATTGATGCGCAAATGAATATTGCCACTTTCAATGCTACCTGTGCGTCGATGAATTTTGGTTATAATTGCTCCATCCGCCATTCCCCGCTCCAAAATTCGGGGAACACTCCTTCACCGACGTCACTTGAGCCGCATTCCTTGGACCTCCCAAGAACAGACGAACAGAAAAGTGCGGTGGCAACACCTAAAATGAGTTAATAGCCGCATTTATTTCCAAACGGCTATAATAAACAATTTGTTGGGCATTTAACGAATTTTACTGCCGCCAACAAAAGCCGCCAGCAGCAGGGCCAATCGAGGGGAGGGTGGGGCAGAAGTGGGCCAAATGCGAGTGGCCATAAAAATGTTTATGATGGATTATGCTCCGCTGCCGCAACCACGCTCATCACTCACTTAATGTTTTACGACACTTTCCATGTGGGACACGTTGGGGCAGGTCTTCGTCATCGCCATCGCCATCTTTGGCTGCGGAGGGGAAAGGAAGGCGGGAGGAGGCAGGAGCGACCTGGTCAATGTCAAGGTGAAAAGTGTGCCACATAAAGCGGCCATAAAGGTGCCGCAGATTGATTTAGACCACCAGGCAGATGAGCAGGAGTAAACCAGAATTGCAAACGCACCGTCACCGGGCATATTAAAATTTTACGGTCAGCGGTAGACGACTGCCAGACACCTAGACACACTTTGGCACACTCACACATGAGACAGTAAAAATAAAGCATTATTACGGCCCTATTAAACTCAAGTCGCTGCCGGAAGCTGTATCTGTATCTGTATATGTATCTCAGACCCAAACTCAGACTCTGACTGGATCGTTTCCATATCCGAGGCGTGGGCCGTAGACACACTGGCCTTGCCCAGGGTCTGTCGACTTGGTCTTGGTCTTGGAATATTCTTGATTTTTTCAGAGTCTGGTTCCCATAAAAGTGAGGCGCGCGACTAACACGCGAGCCGGTTACGCCCCCTCCACAGCCCCTTCGTGGAAATAAAAAGCGCGTCTTGCGGCTGCGATTTTATGAATGAAAGTGCTGCCCCTCGCTCCTCGCTTTTTGTAGCTTTTTAAGCGGAGTTTTATTGGCCTAATGTCGCATTTTGTCAGGACAGACAGACACATGTTCTACACTTCTTACAACTTTCTACACTCAAGGCTACGTTTATTGTAAAGAAAACCTGAATAATGCAGTCAAACGAATTATATTCACGGCGGAGCTGCTTAAGTGCACTTGACTTTATTTAGTTTATTATTATCATTTTATGATGATATAAATAATAATGCGTTTTGATCTGTACTCTGTGACTGTCTTACACTCTATGAGGCCAAACGTAACTGAATATAACCAAAAATATTTGGCTGTATTTCAGAAAATCTAAAAAAATTGAGAATAAATGTCTTTAACTTATAAACAATATTCAATGTACCACGATGGAATGAATTAAGTTTTTGCATATTTATTTTAATAACAAAAATTTTAAAAACGGCTTTTAAAGTATTTATTAAGTTTATGAATTATTTTACGGTAACACTATTCAGGGACCGACCAATTGAGTATGCACTTAAGCTCCCGAGCTGCGGACGCCATTTAACACCTGCAAATGCCCCAGTCCGTATGTCCACGTTATAAAATTCCATATCCATCGGCATGAAAAGATACTTACGCTTACCAACCTGAGACCAATGACATGGCTGTCAGTCGTTAGCCGGCAGAACTCCCTGCCATGTTTGGAAATATTTTGAACTCGTTGCGTGGCTCCCTGGAACTTCTGGCACCGCTCATATCGCAACTAATCAAATGCCAAAACACGTTTTCAGCAACTGCTTATCGTGGGCATGGCCAGACAAGAAGGCAAGACAAAGACGAAGCTAATTAGCATACTGTCAACAACTGGAGGCGGGCGGTTTGGCTATCAGGGACATTTGTATAAATATGATTGATTTATGTGACAATTTTCGACAGCATAATGCGAACGTGTCACGCATATGGCTGGAATCAAGTTGTGATTTTCTGGTAAACAGAAAGAGAGGAACTTAATTTAGTCTGGCTCTGGGATTTTGGTACATGTCAAAGCCAAGGAGATTTCACAAAAATTTGCATTCTCATTTTCCGGCATTAAATATTGCATGCAAGTTTTAACTACAGTCCAGTAAACCGGTAAGCAGAGCAGAAAAAATATAAAAGAAATCTAGAAAAATTCAGCGCTAGCTGCATACTGCGCATGAGCTCCCATATTCAGGGGTAACAAAGCGCAAAATTAGTTGACAAAATCGACTTTAACGCAGAAGATACATTTACCCACACAAACGCACTGCAGTCAAACGTCACACAGATACAAATTCGGAAAAAGAGGCCATGTTTTCAGAGGCAGCCATCAATGTTGCCATCTTTGTCGCGCGGCCATGTATTTTGCGCAAGGAAGAAGACTACATCCAGAAGCCTGTTGTCTCACTTACTCTTACTCACGCACACATGCAAAAACGAAATGTTTTATGTGTGCGTAATGCGTTTCGAACGGCGGGCGACCTCTGGTGAGAAAGCAGCAAAGCTAGAGCTGCGACAGAAAAACAATAGGGGGCGCCAGCGCAAATGG